GCTGCCATATACCCAGGCTGCCATATACCCAGGCTGCCATATACCCAGGCTGCCATATACCCAGGCTGCCATATACCCAGGCTGCCATATACCCAGGCTGCCGGCTCTTGGTTGCACTTGCATAGCATAGAATCAGTTATACAGGCAGAGTGCTGCAGCTCGTAGATTTCCCACTGTATGTAGCGGCACAGTTGGGCTGCGCTTACATAATGTGTCATGATGACGCAGTGTGAGAATAACTGCCATGTTGTGTTTTTGCTGGAAAGTAAAGACGGTGCTGTCTCTGGGATATTGCAAAGGAATGAGGAAGCAGAAGTCAGGCTAGGTGTGAAGATGGAGATGTGCTGTTTTTGAAAAGAAACAAAAATTAGGCCCGATTAGGTGAAGCAGAGAGTGTGCTGGTGAGCTTTGAGCATATCTGTGAGACAGTGCTCTGATTGTGGATGGTTCTTGCTCACGGGTGATTTTAGTACCTGACCGTCACTCATATTGATCTCTAATATCTAGCTGAGAAATTAAACTGCTGTTACGCAGCAATTTTCTTAGGTTTATTTTCTTTTTTTTAAAGCAAGGTCACTTTTCTGCACTTGTTCTGGATATGTGCTTTTCCACATGCAATACCAACTGGTTCCCTGGAACTGTGTCCCATAATAAGCCAGGTGGAGAATATGTGTGCCTTCGTTCTTGTCTTTATAACTGTTTCTACATGTGGACAATGACCTGCGAGCCTAGTAAGAGGGGTTGCGTCTGGGTGGGACCTTGTTTCAAGGTCAATCCATGCATTTACTTTCATGTTGTAGGGGTTAGCTGTAGCAAAATGCTACTGATACAGGCATAGTGGTCATGCTGCCTTTCCAAGACCTCACCTGTTTCTCCCACTTCAGTCATGCCGTCATCTTCAGCGACCTTAAAATACTCACACGTTTCAGGTTTACAGTGCAAAGGCCTGTGGCTACACTGCAGTGTGCTCTGTTTTGCTCTAATTGTAAGAGAGTGCAATTCCTAGGCGTCGTGTTCTGTGGCACTGAGGGATTCTTTATGCACTCAGTGGCTGCGCTGTTCTAAAAGGGAAATTGCAAAAAGGCAGCCTCTGTGGTTTGGGGCTTTGCATTGTGGTCATACTTGTGGTGAATGATTGCTTCTCAGCGTCCGTGTCTGTGCGCCAGCGAGCCTTCGACGCAACGCTGACTTTCCCTGTTCTTTTGCGGTGTTTAAGAAGAAAAAAAAAATCCCCATTCAGCTGAGGATGCAAGAATCTCTCAGGTTGCGCTGGACTTTTGTGTTCACTGGGTATTGATTCCAAGGCCTTGAATCACCCAGCATCCAACAACACCAGCGTATGCTGGTTCTGTAAAATGATTGAGCAAAATTAATGTGAAATTTGGCAAACAGACTGATCCAGTGTTAAAAATGTGTCTGCACTGAAAGTTTAATCGATGTGCAAAACGTTTCCAGATTGCATCAATTCTTCAAATGTGGAAAAACTGTGTGGTTAATTTCTTAACTGCCTGAAAGTGTCTGGTTGTGATATAGTGATCGTCGGTTTTGATTTTCTTTTTCCTTTTTTAGTGGATAATGTCCATAGGAGGGGAGCCTACTTCCATTGTCCTCGTTGACTTATCCATATTTTAATGTAGTTATTTATGTGTTGTTTTGTCTCAACAGCCATTTATGTCACCTCGTTACCCTGGCGGCCCAAGACCTCCCCTCAGAATACCCAATCAGGTATGGGCTCTTCTCTGTGCCCCGGGTCCTGCTGGGAAATGAAGTTTCCTATGGCCAGGAAGCATTGGGCTGACAATTTTATGTATATAATTTCATCTCTTGACAGGTAACTGTTTAGAATTCCATTAAAATCTGGAATACCAACACACCACAGTAATAGATTGCTGTTTATTGAATGGAATCTATTTAAAATATAAAACTTAGTTGTTTTAATATAAAGTTAATATAAATGCAAATTGCACCCAAATCTCATCCTTTTACGACTTTGGGTTGTGCATTCATGAAAGTCAAGTCTTGGTCTCTGGTTTATTTCTGTATCACATGTTTTTTTTTTTTTACGAATGTGAAAGTTGAATGAAATGTCAGCTGTGCCAGTGATGGTCGCTGTATAATTAATTCTGCTGGGATTTGTTAAGGGGCAGCCCTGCGATTGGCTGGGCTAGCCTCACACCTTCTGCCCTGCGATTGGCTGGGCTAGCCTCACACCTTCCGCCCTGCGATTGGCTGGGCTAGCCTCACACCTTCCGCCCTGCGATTGGCTGGGCTAGCCTCACAGCTTCCGGCTCGGGTTTGCGCGCGCTCCCTGTGTGTGGCTTTCTTCCGGGAATTCTGCTTTCCTGCCACGGTCCAGAGACGTTCAGTTAGCTTAATGGAGGTCTCCTGCTATTCCTTCAGAGTAAGCCTGTGTGTGTCTGTGTGCCCTGTGTCCGCTGCTGCTCCTTCCAGTCATTCCCGTACATGATGCCCTGTGCCTCGGGCTCAATGTGACTCTGTGCTGAAGAAGTAGCTTGCCGGATGGATGGATTGATGAATAGATGGAGACATGGATGGATGAATTTGCTTCAGAAAATGTTTAATCTTTACCATTATCTGTGCTATGATCTGTAAACATGAATCGAACAGTGTGATTACGGGTTTTTCCTCCTTAGTGTAAAGCAGGTCACCTTCCCAGCGTACCTCAGTTCTCAGGGACTGTGAACTGTAACATAATGCTTAGATGTAAGTAAAGAGCATTTCTTCTGTGCAGGGTATGGGGGGACTTCCTGGAAACCAGCCCTTACTGCCCAGTGGAATGGACCCTACAAGACAGCAAGGTCAGTGGCAGGCAACTCTAAGCCTTCTCTACTTTCACTACATGTCCATTTACTGGGGTGCAGGCACAGGTCATATTACTGTGTCACGTATTACCTTCTCTCTTATTGCGATAAGGATTACAATTAAAGGATTTGTATATTGGAGTATGTGGGAAAATGTGTTTTTCGCCGATATTTTAAATTCTACACTGGTGTGGATCTTAAGGGTTTTTTGAATGTCTTTTCATAGTTTTTGTTATCTTTCAGATTTTTTGGATGTCCTGTCATCATTTTTGTTATCTTCCGTGTTTTTTGGGTGTCTTGTCATCGATCTTGTTATCTTTCAGGTCATCCGAATATGGGCGGAGCTATGCAGCGAATGACCCCTCCCAGGGGCATGGTTCCTCTCGGTCCTCAGGTAATACACCAACCAGTTCTGTCAGAAATACTCCCAGTTGCCTCTTTTTGGAATTTAGCTGCCAGCTGGGAGCCTTTTTGATTTTGCACCAGTCTTTGAGTCTTTGCCTCAATCATGCTTACTCTTACAGAGCTACGGAGGAGGAATGAGACCACCCCTCAATGCATTGGGGGGCCCGGGAATGCCTGGAATGAACATGTGAGTACACCCCCACCTCAGAACCTCCAATTATTTCATTTAAAATATGAAAAATTACCTTTCAGAACTCAAACCATTTGGAAATAGTGACTTTTATTGACATATGTCTTGTGTGCTAGGATGCATGTGTTCTATTTGACAAAACACCAAGCAGGAGATGCAGCCTGAAGGGATGCTGCTGTTGTAATAAATGTCTTCATTTTTCATAGATGATGGAAGGGTAATGAGCAGGGACACGGTGCACTCCAGCAGTACTTACGGGGAAGCTACTGAATTGCCTAAATTTGATGAATTAAAGAACCAGGCATAAAGTGGCTGTTAATCATGTCCATATTTTTGACTTTTAAAAGTTAAGGTTTTGTTAATCTTGCACCTATTCCAAGGTTTTACTGCATTTTTGCAATTATTACTGTACAAACTTAGGTAAAGTACAATGTGGCAACTTCTATCCCAGTAAACATAATTGTGAAGATCTGCATCACGTTGTGTAAATTAAACATCCAATTTGACTGACAGTTGCTTCATGAGAAGCTACCTTTCTTACCTTTCTTCTTGTGAGCATTTAGTTGAATGTACACTCATATGAACCATCCTGATAGCATCATTTATTTATTTGTTTGTTTCGTTTTCGTGAAAGAGCATTTTGATGGAGTGAAATTCAGTGGTGAATGTAAATTACGTGTTAATGTGTTTCCATTGAGCTAAATCCTCAGAAACAAGTCTGTCTTCTACACTCATCCTTTTGCACGCAGGCAGAAAAATGTCATTTTCTCATTCTGTTATTCTCCCCTGCAAGTCGCTACTGTGACTCAGTTAATTGGTGAAGAGACGAGCATTCATGGCACATATAAACTGACACGAACGTCACTAAGGTGGCAGATTTGAGCACGTCTGTGTCACCTGAAAGCTGACGGCCAAGCAACACAAAGTGGTGAATCAGCGTGATACCACTGATTATGTCTTTTCATTCCGCCTATCAGAGTCTTTGTCTTCCTGACACCGAACGTCAGCAAAGGGGGGGGGGCAAAAAGCCTGGGAATGAAACACAACAGCCTTTGCAGATGTTAAACTAACAACCGTCTGTGTTCCTTAGGGGTCCCGGAGGCAGACCCTGGCCAAACCCCCCTAACAACAACTCTGTGAGTACCTCCTACAACTAAACTTTATGTACCAAGATCATTAAGTGTTTGTCTCTCTCCCTTTTTTATTTCAATAAGAATTAATGCTCTTTTTCGCTTTTAATGTTTGTGTTTAACCTGCACAGCTTGCAAGTTATTTCTCTTGTATGAAAAGTTGTATGTGTTGCATCAATTCTGTTTATTTTATAATTATTCTTCATTACTTTTCTGCCCCTGTAGTAAATGACTCCAGACAGAGTTTTCTGAAATGTAATAAATCTTCTCTGTGACTCATTTACTGTGTCTCTGTCATGCATTGTGTCCCTGTACGGCCTTCAAAGGGGAAGCTTTTTTTTCCCTGCGACCTACTGTAATTTTTATGTAAAACCACACCACAGGGGGGCGCCACACTTTTGTTTATGCACTGCTTGATTGCCTGGGCGTTTACAATAACAAATTATTCAGTAAGAATAAAGGCTTGGTTGTCGGTAATGGAGGGAGACATACCCACACTAACTGGTGTGACTTTCTTATAAAAAATTTAAAAAATGCTTGCAAGATCTTAGCTCTTCTCCCCTCATGTCATTCTTTACTGAAAATTGGTAATAAGTGTCGGATTACATTTCAACCCGTCAGCCGGTCCCTCTCTCTACCTGCATGTAGGGGTGTGTGATAATTTGGTGTTTTCTCTTCTCTAGATCCCCCCCTACACCTCAGCATCTCCAGGAAGTTATGCGGTACGTGATATTCATTTGCGGTGGGTTGTACCAATTATGGGCTACGGGGGGGGGGGGGTTGTGTCCAGTTTATCCCGTAACTTCCAGGGCACCAGAGCTCCTGTTGGCTAGCGTAGCGTTCAAGATGGCTGCATTTAATGTTCACGCAGCCGAACGGACCCCAGGCACACCATAAAATGTAATATAAGAAAGAGCAAATGAAATTGTGCATCATAAACAGAAAATAAAGAGGTCATGAAGGGAAGCAGACTGCAGCCATATTGTAGATTTGGTTCATTAATGTGGTGATTGCAGCTTAAAACGATATGAGGGTCATGATTTTAGCAGACTGACTGGGTTATTGAGGAGCCGTATCATTAAGAGAATGCGCCATGTGCTTCCTTATTGTGTTACCATGGTGACACGGAGGCTATTTAACACACATGAGTAAAGCAGCTGTGCGGTTATTGCGGGCACGAGGCTGTGCCATCAGCAGTCCATTGGCCCGGCTTCTCCTGCGCATCAATTAGAGGCACAAGCGCAGTGGTGTGGCGTTATTTACTGAAACCGCTCTGCTATGAGACCTGCCCGGGAAGTCGCAGTCAAGTCAGCAGGATGGGTTCTAATTCGATTTGGGATTCTGGGAGAGGTAGCATTCTCTCTCGACGTTGTGGGAAGATAGAAGCTAGTGGACTGCAGCATTAGACCAGAGACCTATGCACCCATGTGGATGCAAATTCACTTCAGCCCGGTCCACAAGTGAATATTTGAATCCCCAGAATGGTTACAGTCAGAACACACAAGCAGCGGCACAATCATCACAATCAGCACATTGGAAGCCATACTGTCATTTGAACCAAGCCAGAAAGATCGTCACACAAAAAATAATATTGGCCGAAAGGCTCTCTACTGTATGTATGTTAAGACTGAGTTGGCCTGGTGTACTCTAAGTACTCTAAGTGTAAGTGCTGCTTGTGTTTCCTCCCACTAGGGTCCACCCGGGGGAGGTGGCCCGCCCGGAACTCCCATAATGCCCAGCCCAGCAGGTACACTTCACAATATAGCCCTGCAATGTACGTGTGTGTGTTTGTGAGTGTGCGGGACGCGCGCATTGTGGAGAATGGGACTGGTCCATTGTGCTAGCAGGTGTGTCATTCAGCTGTTGTGCCTCCGGAAAATCTTTGTGATAATAATGGTGGTAATAATGTCTGCATTACAATGGTTCTGTCTGTTCATGCTGTTACATCGACTGCAGAATATCATGCTTTTGCAAATGGAACCGTCAGTCCTTGGTAAACATTAACGCTGATAAGCACCATTCAGGCATTTAGCTCTTTATTCATGTCTGCTTCTCTTTCAGACTCTACAAACTCTGGTGAAAACATGTACACTATGATCAATGCAGTACCACCAGGATCAAACCGGTCCAACGTAAGAGGATTTATCATCTCAAAATACATACCATATACTGTAATACTCAACAGATGTTTCTGGAAAGAATTATAAACTTAACATCGGTATATATACTATTGTGTTCCTTGATATTTTGTTTCCAAATTTTGTTGGAAATCTGATAGTATTTCACTGTTATATTCCCTATTCTGTGTGGAAAGGTGGTAAATCCCAGTGAGATGAGTTGGGACTGTCGTTTCAGAACTATGCAGTGGCCTTTTGGTCACTTTGTGAATGTAAAATCTGGAGCAGAGATGCCTAATGTCACTTGCCCATAATGTGACAGTAGAATAACCCTCTGGAGATCAATTAAAGTTCTCCATTACTAGGGGGCAGTGGGATAATCCATGAGAGATGATCCACAGCAGCCTTTTCTTGAGGAACAGTGGGTACTGAGGTGCAGTGCAGTGGCCGTCTCTGGGGAAATGTGCCAAATGGGAAGTGCAATAATTATGCAATAGTGGGATGGACCGACTTAAGTTGTTAGTTGATAACTTCGATAGTGAGGGTGGATTGTTTCTTAATTGACGAAGATCTCTTTTAAAGAAGCAGATTGGCTACCAGCTGGGAAGGAGGATTTGAATTCCATGTTTGGGTGCAGTCCCTGCTATCCTAGCAAGCCCAGTTACTTGTCTTGTCTGTGTTCCCCAGTTCCCAATGGGCCCCGGAGCAGACGGACCCATGGGGGGTATGGCAGGGATGGAGCCACACCACATGAATGGGTCACTAGGTAAATACAGGCATTTTTTCCTCATCCTTAGGGTCTTAGGATGATGGCCGGTTAAGTCCATAACTATTTAAAATTGTGTGTTTGTTTATTGAGGCTGTTTCTGTGTTCTGGGTTGGTTGGTCATGGTTCTATACATTTGTACAGTAAGTATGGCACAGAGTATGGATGTGCTGTTAAGAGCTACTAAAAATGTGCTATCAGTTTGGTCTTCTAGAGGTGTCTTGCGTACTTCATTTGTGGCATATGTCCATATTTTCAAGAAAAGGCTTCTTTTTCACATTGGCAGCTTGGGTTGGCCAGTGATGGGCTAAGAGCATGATTACAAGACCAATAAGTGTAAAATGTGTTGCTAAATGTATATCAAAGAGGCAGCAGGTATGTAGCCTGTGATGGATCAGCGCTGTTGTACCCATTAAGCAAGACACTTAAACTCAATTGCTCCTGTAAATGCCCAGCAGTATAATTGGGTTAAATTCTAATTCTCTCTGCTGTCAGCTAAGCAACATAATAATTAAATTACTATTATGCATTCATCCATTCATCCATCTTCCATATGCACTCGTGCAGTACAGAGTCATAGTCAGTTTGGAGCCTGTGGCAGACAGACAATGCTCACAAGTGGGGGAAACACCCTGAACAGGATGATTTACACACGGAGAACATGTAGACTGCACAGAGAGCAGAACCGCGTTTCAGTCCCTGTCCTGATGGGTGTGAGCTTCACAGTGCTACCTATCGAGTCGACTGTGAGTGATCGGCTCTCCTGAATTCAGTATCATTTCTGGAAAATGTATCATGCGGGAGACTATGGGATGATGGAAAATGGACATATTACTTCAAGAAGTGTATCAATATGCACATGTGAAGGCAGCCCTAGAGGCTGGGATGTCATATGAAGGTTTCATGTAGCTTCTCTGAACAATTAATAGTCAAAAGTACCTAGTGCTGGGGTGCAGCAGTGGTTAGCGCTGCTGCCTCACAGCAAGAAGGTTCTGGGTTTGGTCCCGGGTCCTTTCTGTGTGCAGTTCACATGCTCTCCCCGTGTTCACGTGGGTTTTTGCCGGGGGCTCCAGTTTCCTCTACACAGGATAGGCTGATTGGTGAGTCTCAATTGGCCATGTGTGTGTGTGTGTGTGTGTGTGTGCGCATCCTATGGTGTGTTGGCGACTGCACAGGGTTGGTTCCTGCCTGCGCCCATTGATCCTGGGATAGGCTCCAGTCCCCCCTGCGACCCCAGTTGGGATTGAGTGTTTACGGTGATGGATAGTAGAAGAGTGATATATTGCAGTTTAAGTAAGCCGTAGTACTTAAATATTTTTAAATGTATGAGAACACATATAGTAGGTTCTAGTCAGAGGAATTCCAGTTCATTATACCGACCCCTAGTCCAACAGTCCAAGGACAGTTTCAGGTGTGGCTAGAGACCAAGACCTGATATTGCTAGAAAAAAACCCCAAAGCAGACCATAGCAGTTCAAAGCTGCCCTCTTATGGACATTTATTGTCTTGCATAAACATTTAATCCTGTATTATTTACTGGGTATTTAACATTTGATGCGAAGCTGTTTTTGGTGTTGAATCCCAAATCCAGTAATAAAGTGGGTCTATTTCTTTGTTATAGGCATATACTCACCGTATGAAGTTTAATATTGTGTTGTACTGTATTATATATTCAGTGCTATTTTTGGGTTATAAATACTACTGCAAAAATTGCAATTCAGAATCTATTTTAAAATCAAAGCCTGACTCTTCTTTGCAAAGTAAATGATTTGAAATATTGAAAATGACCAGTCAGCCAAAGGAATAATCCCAATACAAGTTTGCTAGGTTCAGTCTTATTAAGTTAGAGGGGCTTCAGGGAAAGCTCTTTCTATTCCGTAAAAACGCTATTGATTCTTGGTAAGTAGCTGCCGACTAGCATATCAGTTACGGAGCGTCCATGCCCAGCTGGCCTATCTTGGCAAAGACGCTTATTAAAAGCATGTGATGAACGTTACATTTACCATCTCATTCTTTTCAGGTTCGGGCGACATGGACAGCATCTCCAAGGTAAGGACTAAATCAGCTTAATGGGAGATCCTTTCCATTCTCTGCAGAAATATCCATTTTCTGTCCAACTGCATTATATGAGCGATGTATAACATGCTCTTTGTGAAGCCTGTGACATTACCATTCATATCTAATACATGAGGGCTATGGCTGATCTTTGTAGAAGCAGCATGTAAAAACAGTCCAGCTGGTATTACAGTTTGTGTTCATTGCCAGCTCAGTCTCATAAAGTTACGCTTTCCAAACAGTCTGTTCACAGATGGTGCGCGCTTCTCACCTGCTAGCTCCCTCCTAGCGCAGACTGCTGTCTCTCAGCAAACGGCCCATGTTTCTGTGAAAGGAGACTAGCTCTCGCTAGACAGATATGCGGTTGGTGCATGTTGCATGTTGGTGATGAGATCACCCACTAGATGGATATGCGGTTGGTGAGGAGATCACCCGCTAGACAGATATGCGGTTGGTGAGGAGATCACCCACTAGACGGATATGCGGTTGGTGATTAGATCACCCGCTAGACGGATATGCGGTTGGTGATGAGATCACCCGCTAGACGGATATGCGGTTGGTGAT